ACTCCATCTGTGCCCTGAGTGGTTTCTTGAAAAGGTTATTACCTTTGTGGTAATGGTGTATGGAGAAACTTTCCTTTACAGAGACGAGGCTGCGCCGAAGCTGATGTAGCTGCCATAGAGCCGCATGATCAGAAGGTCAATAAAGCCGGAAACGCTCTGAAATGGATTTCAGGTTCAATATCACATCATCACAGCTATTGTTTTTAAAGCAACAAAGAGGCATTTGAATGACTACAATGACACTGCATTGTGTCACTTGTGTGAAAAAAGGCAAAGATTATTCAAACAGGAAATTATTTCATCTACAAATATCTGCTGTACCATCTGATTACAATAGTACATTTGTTTCTTGAACTTACAGCAATAAAATAACCCGATTACCTCCAACAACAGAGAGTTGATTTTTAAGCGGTTCTATATTATAAACAGATGCACTTGTTTCACTTACATTCATTCTTTGGAGTATTACCATAACCTTTACTATAACCATTACATGTCTAAACTCACCTTCATGTTAAAATATGACCAGAAATATGCTTTAGCTAATTCACTTGTGGCCAGAACTCCACAACAAGCTTAAAATCACACCATGGAGCTGTATTGATTTTGGGCTATATTTCCAGCAAATAAATGTAAGTCCAATAGTCGTTTTAACTCTGTTTTGGTCTCTGCCAACTCACAATGGTAATATCTGGATTAGGTTTTACCAGTTATTTGTCAATCAATTACTAAGTTTGTGTGTATAATCCCTCCAAAGTTCTTCGTAACTATTAGCTAGTATCAAACAAATGATTTACTAAATCAGATTGCTCCATAAAACGTGAAACATATCTTAGTAAAGATGTTTGTGAAAAGAAAAGTGAAATGTAATCTGATTTTCCCTGTTTACATCATTATTACACCATCAAGTGTCTGTTCAGATATGTTGATCATATTCCATATTATCTCTTTTACTTGTCACTCTGAATGGGTGTAATAGCGGGCTAACATTAGCTGTGTAGAATTAGTTTGTGTGATGCAACCCGTTTGAATTTAGAGAGGACCTGGTACAACTGGCTCCTAGATGTTTTGGTTCTTGTGTTCACTGGCTAGTCTCTAACTTTGCCTTTCTACCATTTAGTCCTGGGCGTGTAGTGTACAGTAGGTTTATTATAGCTTCAATGAAAAAAACAGCCTTCTGCAGCTGACTATGACGCTGATTAGAGTCATGAGACTAAACCAAAACAGTACATTTACAGGCTGTAAAATTACACCACAAGCTACAACTTCTGAAACAGCTTTAACCTAACAACCTAACAAATCTGATACAACAAACCAAATATTAAACTTAACATAGTTCAAATTGTGGGGACCAGCTTTCTGTCCCCACAGTGTGAACAGAGTTTAAGTCCCATGATGTTTCCCCTCGCACACACACACACACGCACACACACACACGCACACACACACACACACACACACACACACACACACACACACACACACACACACACACACACACACACACACACATACACATGGATTACAATAAAGTATTAGTGGCAGGATTGTTCAGATGTTAAATCCCTGTGAAGTTTGAGTGAAACAATCAGCGGTACAACAGAGCCATGACTCGTCCCATAACTGGAATCAGAGATGTCAGGTAATGGAATCATTCTTCAAAACCAGTCTGCATAGCTTGACTTCCACAATTACTCTTGTTGCTCCTGACGCCACAGGATGTCTGCGACAGCTTGGTTCAGACTGAATAGGCATGCTGCTGATGGAAATGTCTGCATTTCACGTCACCTTCAAAACTGTAGTTCCCTCTGGTGTTATAAAGGAGGTGTTAAAGATCAAACTCAAGCCAGAATTGGCTTTGAAGGAACCACAGCATAAAATCCATATGTGGTGTTCATTAAATATTATTTTTATAGAAAGAGATACAGTGGAGGACAATTTAATATAAAAACAACCACAATTTAATTACACAAATGATGAATAATATACTACAGTAAGAACATATCAGGGAAAGTATGTATGAGGAGCTGTGGGAGAATAGGAGTTAACAGGGGAGATGATTGCGGCTGCCTCGCTGCTATTTGGAGCTTTTAGTCACTATCCAGTTCATCGACTGGACCTCTACTAGCCAGCCAATAACATGAGAGCAAGCCAGGACCCGAAGCCTCTTTTAGCCCACAATCAACACCCTGCAGATGCTGTCACAGTTGAACACAGCACATATTAGACCTAGGATGAAGCACACTGATGCTGTATTGACCTGTGCTACACTGGTGATACAGGTTTCTCTAACTAGACTGCAGGTATACGATATAACTGTGATCTTTTTTTTCTTGTTTGACCCACAATCTTAAAATGTTAAAAGTTGAGAAATGGACCATATTTTTAAAATTTTTATGCCCTGGCTCGGATTGTTTGTTATGCAGAGTCAAGCTCATGGGCATATTCCTGAATATCTGGAGAGAGGTTGCTCACAAGCCCTGCAGAGTGACTATCAGTTTGTTGACAGCAGGAGTACCAGAGGTGTAGATGGCTGTTTGCTGGTGCTATCTCCTAAATCACTCTGAGCATTGACAGGTGTGTGAAATCTTGTGAGTTCAGCAATCAGCAAACTGACTCTCCACAACAGTGCAGTGTAGTAGTCCTACAGAAATGCCAAAGTATCCCAGTTGAACTTTCATCTCCAACGTTTACATCTACCTCTTACAGGCTCTCCAAAACCGAGCAGAATCAAGTCTGAATAAATGGGTATGAGACACAGCTGGATAAACTAACAATGGTGCAGCTGCACACAGAAGATTGTTCTCTGTTGGATATTAAACTGCCACAACATTTTCCCGGGAGCTATTCCCAGCACTCCCTAATGAAAGCAATCACAAAAGAATTGCATCGTCTTGTGTTGTTTTCTATACTCTCTGCAACATACATATGTAATCAGTAACATTTTATGATTGAGGTTTTATTTTAAAGCCAGAATTGTTTGTTGGATTATTTTCAGATATCCTGCCTGAGGTGAAAATGTGGCAAATACATTGCACATTTATGAGTATGGTTCACAAAACATATGGTAAATGCATTGGCTAGATTTTGAGACATCAATATATAGACTGAATATTTATTTTGTGTGATTTTCATGCATAGATAGATCAATTTAACTTGTCATTTTGTTTATCTGTACTGATAGGACTTGGGTCATTGCAGTCTTTGCAGTCTTTGGACAAGGCAAGACAAAAAGAGTTTGAAAAAGATTGAAGAAATGTACAATAATGTAAAATATAATACCACCCAGTACAGTAGACATGCAAATAACACTGTGCTATGTTTGTCAGGTTTATAACATTGAGTTTAGGTGGAAACTGTGGTTGATTCAAGTGTGGCAATCTTTGTAGACACTGAGGTTGGTGGTGTTGTATTAAATTGTACTGAATTGCATAACAGAACCAAATATTTCCTCCCACACAACATCTTACCACATGTAGCAATCCAGTGCAACGCTGTGAACTACGGCCTTAAGAAACTGAACATTGTAAGCTTCACAAAGGTAGCATTTTTTCCATTGCCACTGTACAGGATCATATTATATTGGACAGGGGTTATTTTAATTATGTCCACCCCGAGTACATGTGATATGTCTTGCCCACCCCTAAAAATACATTGAAGTTCTAATTATTATCAAAATGAACAAATTCCTTCAATTGTAGCAGCTGCTTTCTTACACACATTTTTTCATTATTAAGTTGAAGTTCACAAAACATTTAATCAACACTTCACATGCAAAAAAGGACATCAAGTATGTGACCTCAGACAGTTGTCAGTGTTTCTTGACAAGCCACAGCGCTCCATTACCGGACAGAAGAAGTCCTTCTCAAGCAGGACAGGTGGATCAAATAGGGAGGACGGGGAGTTAAAACTGAGGTGAAGGACATTTTCAAACAAGCAAGATTCAAACTATTTAACTCTGTATGTGGAGCACAGGTGGCTAGTCAGACAGCAGCATATTGCCCGGTGGCTCCATCCTTGACAAGACAAGCCATTTCTGAAGCTGCTGGTCTCACCCCTGGGGAGCTGCCATCCAGGTGAGCCAGGAGCAGAGCACAGCAGATGCTTTGACGGACGGAGGAAGGATGTAAAATGCTGCATGTATAAAAATCTGATGCAAAAAGAAAATACAAATTTTGTATCCAACAACCTCATTCAATGAAAGGATATTATTTTGAAGAAGCTTAGGCCTATAGCTATTAGAAAACATGTTTTTTTCAGTTGCGTGAATTTAATTGCATTTAGACTATTGATGTAAAAACTATTGATGTAAGAAGCAAATGAGAGGAAAATCATTTTGTGTGTGAAAGCCATTTCTTCTCCATTCAACCCTTACTTCTCCTCATGTATGCCAGAGAAAATCCAGCCTTGGTGTCAGATTAAATGAATAGGCTAAATGCTTGTAACAGAGGCAATTTCAGGTAGGATTCAGTAGCACTAATAATACATTCTGTTTCATCAACATGATTTATTTTTACAATTACCAAATATGCCTACTATCTTAATTAAATAGCTATTTGGACTTTTTAAAGCACATTATTTTACTTTCTGAAATGATGTTGGCAGAGGGCTATATTCATGGAAGAAAGATAGACCTTAATTAAAGAGGGAAACTTTTAATTACAGAATTAAATTACTCCAATTAACAAGATACAAGGCATGTTGGGCTTTCTTCACAGCCCATGCAGACACTCATACAGTTATTACCAGGGAATCCAGAGAAATACACGGATTACTATATTGCATATTGTATGCAAAAACACATACAACATACAGTTCATGTTAAACATCAATTTCTCCTTTGCATGAGCAATATGAGAGGGCCGTTTTAAGCAGCAAATACGAAGACTTTGCCACTTCCATGACAAAGGATGCTGCTTGACAAAACGGTGCTCCAACTAGGCCTACTGAAATTACAACAGCTTGACTGAATAGACAAAGAGGCTTAAAAGACTTATACCTCTTGAAGATGAATGAGTCTTTGTTGGCGTTTGAAAAGCCACAAGGAATAAGGTTGTCACACCTGTGAGCCCCAGTCACCAGTTACATCCCGCAAGGGGACTATTTCTGAGGCTTTCTTCTAAATACCAATATGAAAACAGGGGCTTGTTCAGTTGATCATCGCATCTGTCTCCGCCAGACTTCAGATCTGATTCAAATAATAATATAAAGGTCCTCATCAATCAGTAGGCTCCAACAATAACTGCCTCCGTTTCTTTAGACGGTCTCCTGTCCGTTACTAGAAAGTTGATCATTCCCTCTGATTTTATGAGAAGGTTGCAACCCAAGAAAAATATGCCAAACACCACAGTGAGGGACAAAACGCACATGACGGCAATCTGGACCACCCTCATAATGAAGAGGCTTCTCTCATCCGGAGCGGCGGCCACAAAGCCGTTATCAGTCACCACGGATGAAAAGTTGCAGCAGAAAAACTCCTCCGTCTTGTTGAGCAGTCCGCCCTCCGTTTGGTTGAACCCGGTGTTGTTCATTTCCACTTTTTAAAAAATCAAACTTTCAGTGCGACAGATGTGGGAGGCAGAGAGGGAAAGACGCGCCTGGCACAACCCCAGAGAAATTGTCATCAAGTGAAAAGTAAAGACGACGAGGTGCCGAATTGAAGAAGTTGCTTTGGCATCGCATTACTGGAGATTTCGTGTGTTCAGTAGCCAGTTTCGGAGCGGAGTGAATCCACCAACCCGCGGTTAAATAGCCAGACAGCACCTGCCTGCGTTAAACCGCTCAAGTGGCAGGCCAAAACAGCAAGAGCGCCACCACACGACCAGACTGCATGCGCGTCATGAATGACGGTGTGCACTAAGGCGAGCAGGCCTATGTAGTCCATTATGTTCTGTGAGTATTATCTATATTTGTGTCAATGTAACCTGCCATGCTTTGGTGTTGGTGAGTGTGAATACAGGCATTAATGTAGGGCAGGTGCATTGAGTTACCAGCGTTTTAGGTTGGCCTACAAATGAACAATATACAGCCAAGGTACATCCTGCAATAAATCTTTGTGACTTCTATTAAGTTTTATTAAGTGTTTGTGGTTTCTAGTGGATCGTCACACACACACACACACACACACACACACACACACACACACACACACACACACACAAACTTTCTTTAGTTTAGTAAAATCAGTTTGCCTGCACAGCAATCAATCCATTTTAGTGTCACTAATGATAACTGAACTCTGTGTCACTGTCTAAACATTTTGAATTTAGACTCCTCAAAAGAAACGGATGTTGTCTCATTACAAGTTGTCTTTTGCGAAGTGGTGATGTTGGAGGGATTTTTCTTTTTGAGGACATGTTATTATTGAATAAACTTATCATAGGTAAAGCACAGGTGTTATTATTAACATTAACAATGGCTCAGTTCTATTCATGTACCCCAGTAAGCCATGACATTGTGTCAGTGAGCCAGCATGCACAATATCAGGACCCTGAAACTGAAGCAGCTATATAGAGTTCAACCTTGTGTGTGCTTCTCCTACTTTGACATGTAAAAATGTCTTATGTGAAAAAGGCCTGTGAAGGAACTACTGTCTTCCATACTGAACAAGTAAACAAGAGGTGGAAGACGTTCTTCAGATGTTGGAGGTAAACATTATGTCATTTGACATAATTTCACATAAAAATGATGTTACATATAAAACACATAAAAAGTTGAAGTTCATCACTCAAACGTTTTTCCCCCTCTATTTTCCACCCAGCCAGCTTTAAAAAGCCAGGACATAAAGTCTTACTCCCACACTGAAACAAAGAGGAACCAGGACATGCACTGACATCTAGTGGATGTTTTGAGTCTGATGTGGAAACAAAGTTTGTTCATCTGCATATCATAAATACAAATATAAATGGATGTCATATTTATCTCACAGTGCACGTACTAAAGTATATTTGTCAGCTGGTGCATTATAGTCGACTTTAATGAAATAACAATAACAGCTTCATATCAAAAGGCAGTTTACAGTCTGTGACTGTATTTCATTGACAGCACATCAGAGTTATCATGAATTGTTGAATGGTAATTAAATGCCTGGCTTAGATTTGATCTACTACACTGCCCAGAGACCTGCAACGCTGAAGGTCTCTCATCAATAGCAGCAGATGGCAGCATTGTTCAACATGATTCATCACTGAGGTCCCTTTAAAATGTAGACAACAGTATCAATCTGTCAATTTAAATTAATTGGCCCATGGGTGCTGGCACAGGCATGTACACAACACCAAGGTGTATGTAATTTATGCTGTTGATTTTGAAGTGTTCATTTAGCCACTGTCTAGCTGGAAATTACTTTACTTATTCTTCAACCTGCCCTTAATCATTTAGGTTTTTCTAGGTCAGAATATGATGTTATTACTGTATTGTAATTGGCCTAAGCTAAATTAAGCTGCATTCAATTTTCTGGATTCATCTCATCCACAACTATCAATCCATATAAAAACAAACATAAAGCAAAAGTAAACATTTAAGACAGCTAGAAAACTGAAATCAAATGTTTAAATTCGAGTTCTGAAACATGGATACTTTCCTGACAATTGCCATGGAAGATTTTTAGTCAGAGATCCCCCCCCCCCCCCAACAACTTTTAGGCTAGGCTACATAATGTCTTGCCTGCCCTGACAAAACACAGAAAATCAAGCCACTCTTTCGGATCCTTCATATTTTATAGACTTTTAACTGGAAATAAATAAAAAAATATAATTCTAAATGAAATGAAAATTGTGTTATTTTGGATATCTTACACTAACATCGCAGAATAAATAGCACTGTATTTTGCCTGTGGTGGTGGCTGCGGTGGTGTACGCGCCTACATTTACCAGCTCCACTTCAAGAGGATTTCATGAGCGACGTCGCTCTCAGCCAATCAGAGAGGAGGAAGGAGGCTTTTTATTTTGCAGGTCGGACTGAACTGAGGTTAGATTGTGCTGAATACTACCTCGCCTGTCCTCTTACCGTTATAATATTCAGCCTGGGAGCAGGTGCGTGCTGCGACGTAGCTTTGACTCCATTAGCATTAAAAGGAATAGGAACATTCACTGGTAATGTTTACCGGTTAACTGCGGCTCAACGAGGGACAAATCCTTTCAAGGAGTCCGACCAGGTACCATGAGAGGCATTACCAGGACGGACAGTATCACACCGGATTGTGGACTACGCATGAGATGGACTGTAACTTAGGTGTCGCTTCGAGACGTTGCGCGCTTGCAGGAGCAATTTGTCCAGTTTAAATCAGCCACAAATAGCACTGTATATTGGGTCATGTTGTCTGCGCTCAACACGTTGCCGGAGAGCGAGGCTGGAACAGGTCACTGGTTCACTCCGTCCACAATTTAGGTAAGCAGAGAGTATCCTCGTTTTCTGTTGCGTTCACGCCTCCCATCACATCCCATCCCATCTTATTGCTTCCCACAACACAGAAATATTTAATGATGATGCTTCAGATTTGATCTTATATTTACATCAAGGTTACTCTATTTACTGTGTGTCACGTGTCCTTCTTTTGGCGTATGTCTTAACTGCTTTTGTTACTGTGTTTCTCACTCCTGTTACCTCTAACAATTAATAGAATTATGAAGTCATCATACATGAAGGAAAGATGAGCATGTGTGTGTCCATATGCCACACCTTTAAAAACCACCACAGGGATGAATGTAATCTTTTCGTGTTATTTACGTTATACAATAAGCTATAGTCATTGGCCTAATGGACTTATTGGGATCAGCTCTATAATCACCTCCTGTCCCTGGCAGGGTTTTTGGAGTGCCAATGCCAATATGATACCTGAGTTTTGGCACTGATACCAAAACAGTATTTAGGTTGAGCAATAGAATAGTATTTCTACAAAATTTAATAAAATATGCTAAATATCTGTATTTATGGTTGTGTGATACATTACATACACCTCATGCCACAGACACAATTTGTTCTGCAACCCAGAAAGTATTGATTGAGTAGAGATGCAGGTATGTGACCCGGGGATTGCTGGTTTGAATCCAGAGTTGTCTGAGCATATGACTGCTCTCTCCACTTCTATCCTTGAAGTAACCACGAGCAAGGCACTTAAATGGTACTTAATCCCCAAATTATCAGCAGCAGAAATGTGGCTTGCCTTTATGATGGAGGAGCATATTACTCATATGTTGTTTATACTTGTGTTTTTTTTTTTGTATTATTCTTTACACTTGTTAAAGCACTTTGTAACTTGTTTTTGAAAAGTGCTCTACAAATAAGGATTATTATTATTATGTTTCCAGTGGCAAGTGTTGCTCTGAGTCGTGTCCAGTTGTATTACTGTGGACATCAAATAGTTAAGTCTGGCAATTGCATACAGTAGGTGCGCTACTATTGAATGATTGAGGAATATGTAAAGCTCATAGCATTGCACCAGACATTTCACAACAAAGAGTGTTGCTAACAACACACTTAACTTCAGGAAGCCGTTTATAATGCATGATAGTTTACACTTGTGTTGAAAAAGTGGCTTGCAGGAGGGACCCGTTCTTTAGAGGTGTGTACAGCAGACAAGAAATATTCATCTGTGCAGATGGTTAGTCTAATTGACTCAGATGACTTCGGACAAGACTCCAGCAAGATGCTGGTAGCGCAGTTGGTGGTTTCAAACCCAAACATGTCCCTGCCACTGACGCACCGAAGCAGATGGTTAGAGATGCAAACAGACATCATTAGACAGAATCATCATTGATCTGTCTACGATGTGAGTGGAGCTGATGCTACATACAGACTTGGATTTCAGCAGATTTTTTGCTGAGACTCTTTTACCGATTACACCCATTATCTGGGAGTCTAGATTGCATCCATCTACTCGGGTTAGAAGTCAGAGGATGAGGGATGCCTTGTTTTTGAATGACATAAGAATTAGCCCAGGGCAGCGGTGTCAGACCACTGTGATGGACATTTCGACTGGGAGCATAGAGGACGATGTGTGTGTGGTGCAAAATAATTACCAAGTGAAAGATAAGGAAATCTGTCAGATTCCCCGCAGACATTTTTTTCTTAGTAGTTGTAAAAGTGAAAGGGTAGGGTAAGTTTTTATATAGGTCATACATATTAACCTGGTATATGTTTGAGCATCTGCAGGGGCTCAGTTGGCTTTAACACATGTAATGCAGCACAACATCTTAGACAGACCTTTAAGATCTCTTTAGGATAAACTCAAGCTTACTAAGCTGTATATGTATATTGCAGCATATATCTTTTTGTTATGAAGGTCTGCAAGGCTACTGGGTTTGTTTTTCGTTCGCCATGGCTGAAAGCATTTTCCCCCCATCATTCCACTTTCATTCTGATTATGCTTTCATAAGCCTTTCAGTCAACAAAAAGCCTCTAATTTCAGTCAAGTAGAAATCCTGTTTGACAGAAAATGATGTTGTTTTTTTCATCAGAAATACTGTGAGGCATACATCCCATGCCAATGAGATATCTAACCTCCACAAAGCTTCCCAGATGGTCCTAGCAGCACTACTGATGAAGTGTCTGAAATGAAGTCTGTAAAGGGGGAAATGAGCAGTCACTCATCCTTTCAAATGGCAGAATGTGGAGGGTGTGGGGTCAGTCCAATGTGGGAAGCCGGGTGTGACCTCCATAAAGGTCTGTGTGCGACCGGAGGCAGTGACACCCGTACAGTAAAACCCTGCTTTTTTTCAATACAGCAAAGATAAGAAAAATCTCTCACTAGCCCTTCCTGGCTGCTTTCACCTGGGTTCCTCTGAAGTACCACCTTTAAAAACTGAAGTGTGTGTGTGTGTGTGTGTGTGTGTGTGTGTGTGTGTGTGGGGGGGTTATTTTTCAACTGTAAACTGTCTCGCTTAGTACATACTGATCCACCCTTTTCTCTCTTATTCCTGAATTTAAAAGCTGTTTACCTCTCTGCAGTGGAACTCACAGGGCTCATTTTTATGTGAGGTAACATGATGCCAGGGATTTCTGTGGCTCTACAAACTGAGCTGGCTGCCCGCCACGACTTAATGAATGTAACTGATAGTGGAAATGCTGAATTTCATGTTGACACTGTCGAAGCAACTGTTTTCAATGTGGATTTGTCACATCTCTCAAATGTAGATATGTGTCAAAAGTCCAGTATAGATAAGGCTACAATGTAAACGTTTGTGTATATTATACTGTGTATATTTTTCTATTCACATTTTTTCTTCTACCTCTTTCTGTCTCCATTTTTTGTTATTACTACACAAATACAATATGTAGTTTTCCCATTAGCACACTCATCATAACTGCTCTTTTGTTCTGTTTAACAAACTATCACAGTTGTGTTGTCTGTTCATTTTGTTGCACCTCTGTCTGTCTAATTTATTCCACCTTTTATGTTATGTGACATTCTACCAATATAAAAAAGGAAAATACATAATTGGAAAACTGCTCTGTAATCTCTGGTTGTGTAGAGCTATGAAATGCATAAAATGAAGTCTGGAGAAGGTGATTACTAATCACTTTTACAATAGACAAATATTGATCTGGTTTAAATACTTTTCCTTCACAGATTTTGCTGACATCATGTTTTTTCACAAGTTAATTGTTTTAGATCATCGTTAAGTTAATGTTCATCTGCAGTCACAGCAGGAAGACAAAAATCGTTTTCATGATTGCGATTAGATTTAGAATTCCATCTTCTCACTTTGTTTTTTTTTCCTCTCTAGTATGATGCCTCTTGGTCAAACCTGCTGCGTTTCCTTCCTGTTTCCTCGCCCCGTCTCCAGAGTCCAAACACCCCTTCAGCAGACCGAGCGCTCCTGAGCACTCTCGCTGTGACCCTGCCTGTTCAGCTGCCTGCATCCCGGGAGGTGATGCGACGGTTTGTCTACTGTAAGGTGGTGCTGACCACCTCTTTAGTGTGGGTGCTGGTGGACGTGTTCTTGCTGCTCTACTTCAGCGAGTGTAACAAATGCGACGACAGGAAGGACCGCTCGCTGCTCCCTGCCCTCCGAGGTGAGTTCCTCCCCACTGCTGTTTCACCTTTCATTCACAGAATAGACAGGATGGGGCTTGACGTTTTCAGGGGTCCATTAAGCAAAGAACTCTCTATTCCATCTCCTTTTACTATGCTCTGATACTGTTTGTCTGTATTCATAACAGTGAATAACCTGTCTGTTTATGTTCACCAAGGTAACAAAAGCATTGTGTGGTGAGCTGTAAGTACAGATTGAGTTGAAAAGATTTTTCTGCATTTCCACACTAAAAACATTATTTTGACAAATATAAATACAGACACAATTTTCACTGTGATGTATAACCCATCTCATGTGATCTAAAATAAGTTTGTAGTTTCTACAAATAGATTTGAATATTGCACTGAAATGCACTGAACCCAAGAGCACACAGAGGCTCTGGAAAAAAAAAAGTGCTGCAGATATTTGTTTTTAGCTTTTAGCAATAATAATTTGTTTCATAAAATCATTACAACCTAATTAACATATATCAATAATTGTTAAATGCCAAGCAATCAGTGTGGAGTGTGTTTTGCAGTAGATGAAGTGAGTTCTCGCTTCTTATCCAACTTTTAAACTATGCTAATGTTAATTTAGAATTATATGAAATGGAGCTTTGATTTAGTTTTTCTTTCAGATGCTTGGATGTAGAACAGAATAGGTTACAACACAATGATCTCACACAACACACTGATGACTTTTTTTTGCATTTTTGATATTCTCCAGTCTACCTTTTGTTTGGCATCAGAACAATTATCTTCATCATCTGTCACAAATCCTATGAAGTTCACTGAGGGGGAAAAACACGTACAGTACCTTTTTGGCAGAGTTTATTTCCCCACACGGCCTGCAGTAAGCAGGTTTCTAAGAGGCTTGCTGAGCTACTTTTAATGTTAGAATGAGGCAGAGCTGCCAGCTATTGGGTCTGATTATCACATAGAAGTCCACTGTTACATTTGAGTTACTTTGCGTACAAAATAGCTTAAATGTGATGACTTGCAAAATATTTGAACTGACTGTGAGATACTGGTTTATCTTGAGACTGTAGGTGTTTTCAGGTTTATCTTGTCAAGCTTTAAACTTTCAAAACAGAATAGCCCCCTCTTACTCTGGCTCATGTTCACTTTACTGATTAGAATTTACTCCAATTTGATTATTACTTAAGCCTTTCTGTGAGTTCACACTAATTACTAATTACCATTCAGTTAATGCGTGTGTAGCCATGATATTGTAGTTAGATGTGTAGTTAATAGATATGAACAATTTCAGTCTGTTGGAGACCCAAAGTGAGCGGGATTCTTAAAACTACATTATTCAGTTTTTTTTAAAACAATGTGACAGATGTGCAGACACTACACCTTATGAAATTGTAATGGCTTGCAAACAGTTTCCTATTTACACATGTAGCTGATGTACAGTGGAATATGTAATATTAACATTCATTTTGACTCTGGCCAGCTAACGAATGTACGTGCATCATTTATTCTTTTTTTTAGTTCTGTTTTGGTCTCCACCAACCTTTAACAAAAATATCGATTCTGTAGCTGTATAATGTTTGACATTGTTTTAATTTGGTATACTCTACGATCTACAGTATACACTCCATAGCGTATCGCCCATAATGTGATGGGAGCTCAATAGTGGCCATGTTGGCAGCAGATTTGATTGGAGATTACTGCATTGACTTTTCTGCAATGGAGACATAATCTTTCAGGATCGCGATGCATCTAAGAATCGATTTCCCTCCCCCCCATCAAACATTCAAAATCAAAAGAATGAGCCAAAATAGGCTACAGAGCTCAGTTAAACTGAAAGTGAGCATCAGCACTATGAGGAACACTTCGCATAACACAGAGCAATTTAATTGAATACTATTAATATAAAAAATTGATTAATGCTTTTAAAATCTCTACTTTGATAATGACCAACTTAAGAATGTCTGTTTTAAATTCCTCAAACAGAGCAGGCACCATGTAGCTCACATCAGTGTTTCTCAGTTTGACTATAATGAACTAAATGGCCAGTCGCTCCTGTCTGTTATTTGTGTAAGATTTTACATTTGCTTGACGTACAGAGGGCTGTCTGTTAATATGTAAAGGAAAGGATGTTGCATTGACGCACGTAACCACAGGTTACGAGGTTACCACAGGTTAAAACAAGTTGAAAGATATTACCTACCCTAGCTCTGATAATGCGATTTCATCGGTTTCAAACATCTTTAAACGGTTTGCTTTAAAGTCTTTCGGTTTCGTTTCTCAATCCCAATCTGAAATAACCCTTGACATGATTGATGTCTCAGATTTTAGAAAGCTCTCTAAAGAGCAACAAAAGTTGCCACAGGCTGAGTGGTACTCCTCATCAGTAAACTGGGCCTCGTGTAAAATCAGTGCCCCTTTTAATATAGAGCTTTAGATAAATTCACCCATGAATCTTGCTGGTCGGTCCTTTTTGGAGTTGTCTATTTTTTCTGAATTCAGACATGCATTTGTCGGAGAGCTTCCCTGAGACAGCTACAGCCCCTGTGAGCATTAATGAGACATACAAATAGTTTTGCTATTTATGAAGTGAAAAGAGCAATTGGATAAGTGTTGATTATGAAACTCACTTCTTGAAAGCTATGCATTCACAGCTAAGGTTAAGGTTTAGATTTTTTTGAAGAATCAGCTTCTCTATTTTTGAAAATAATTGTTGCAAGATTATTAGCTGATGAGTTGATTGGTTTAATGGAGATGCACGTTCAACATTAGAAAGAGTGTGTTGAAAGCCTGGCCTTTGCATCACTACAACACACACAGAAGAAAACAATGGAATCACAATCAACCACTCGAAGAGGCTAAGCATCACAAGGCGAAGCTGTGTGCCACACATGATCTTTTTGAAAATGAAATGTGATGGTTGGCACATTCATTTGTGGATTGGAATGACTGCATCTGTGTTTGGGAGTTTTTCCTCATCCAAAACGAGGGTCTAAGGACAGAGGGTGTCGTGTGATATATAGATGGTAAACCTCCTGAAATGCAAATGTATGATTTGTAATATTGGGCTATATAAATACAACTGACTTGATTAGGATTGCAGTACATATATTATACATACAGTATGTTTAATCCGGAACTTGTTAAAGTTCAGGATTTTAGTTTGACTTTAGCTGCAGTATTCCTCCTCAAGCGGTATTGAACCATATATATTAAAAATCATTGATAATCAGGAGAAAAGAATGAGGGGAAAAAAAGAACATTTTATCAAGTACATATTTTATAGCAGTAATTTCACTTATTTCACATGCCGATAAAATAATCATTCTGTCATTCAGATATCTGTTTGTAGAATAGATGGCTGTCATTTAAGGGTTTGCTTTGACGTGAGAAGATCTCAGTTGTGACACCACAGGGTGTGTTGCACAGTGCTACTTTTAGCTGTTCAGAATACAAAAATATAATTCTCACTGTGAATTATTGTTTATGGATTTTCCTCCCCTCACAGAGGAAGCTTAACATTTTCCGGGAACTCATACCTTTGTAGATATTACACTTAAAGATGACAGACTCCTTATATTTAGTCTATCACTTGGTAGTAATATAAATATGTTGCAGTTAGGGTGAAGGTGCACATAAGAGCAGCATAGTAGTGTTCTGAATGTTTGTTTCTGGTCTACATTGACTTTGTGTTCAACGGGAGCTTCTCTGATATATAATGTAATGCCAGCTGGGTCCGACTTGCAGGCACGAAGCAGTAGAGGGAAGAGGTGGAGGTAAAGTATAAAGGAAAGAGAGTGGATCAAGCTTATTATAGAGCCCTATAGAGCTGGAGGACAATCTGCATTCAGACTAGTGTCAGAGTCCACCTTGATAAGAGGAATCTGGAATCTCGCAAACAATGATCAAAGAGTTCATTTGAGCTCCCACAAGACATTTCAGTAATGAAGTATATAACATATAGAGAAGGCTATAACATATATTACATGTGGCAAATGTTGAGAGAATCTAGAGTTGCACTTGTATTGTAAATCAGAATTATGAGTTTATATATCACATACCGACAGGTAGACGCGTGGCATTTTATTTTTGTTCAGCGCTGAAATATGAGTGATTGTGTCTCAAAAGACTAATTACCTGTGAGTGTGAGTGGAACCTTTTCACTGTAATTGCTTGGGATAAAGCTGCAGGCAGGGACATTGAATCAGATTGATTGACCCGAGGGCAGACAGAGCCAGTGTTTTCTTCCCAAATGAACGTGGTCATCTTTTATAATGAATGCTCTGTGTCAGGAACAGATTGTGTTGGCTTTGACAGAGTTTGTTTTCGAAGGCTCCTCTGATTTGTGTGTTGCAAAGTAAAACCAGGTTCATTTGAGTGTTTCTAGTCTATATATTAAATCTGACTGTATTATTTCATAGATGACTAATTTTGAAAGTGCTGGGGGTGAAAGATTATAATTTACAGCTTTCATAAGAAAAATAACTGGCTGCATGATTCAGCATAAATATACTGACATTTGCTCCACAAATAATGTGAAATAAATATTAATAAATAAAGTTAAAGGCTTGAAATCAAATCCATCTTTGCACCTAAAATACACTCTGATACTCCCAAACAATACATGCTTTAATTAAACTTACATTAAGAGTCAACAGATATGTTATATGTATATGCTTTGATTACATTATGATTTCTATCAGGTAGAAATTTTCACCATGTTCATCATCTTAGTATAGTTTTAGTATGTTGGCATGCTACTATTTGCTAATTACCTTTAAACAGCAAATACAGCTAAGGCTGATGTGAGTATTTCATCATAGTTTTGGACAGATAAAAATTTTGACCTGATGGTGGCAATAAATGAAAAAGAGATCACCGAAGTTATTAGAATTCATCCTCAGAGAAACATGAATCTCTGAATAGTTGTTGAGACATTTAACTAAAAACAATAAATGACAACCTCATGATGGGAGATGTTTCAGTGTAGACCAAATGGGTAGCTGTGGTGAAGGACCAACATTATAATCCATAGAGGCACACAGGCACCATATAAAAAAAAAAGAGTTTGATTTAATCAAGGTAAAGAAGGAAAGATGACTTTTTGAAAAAAGCTCCAGCAGCCTCTGCAGTTTTGACTGAGATGTATCTTGGCACAAATGGAAAACATCTTTTACACTTTTGTAAAATTCATGCTTCATCTTAAATGTGAACCATATTTTGACCAAGTCACAGATACATTTGACTGTTGCATGTATCACATATGGCTTTATCCATGCTTGAAAAATATTAATTTGTAACTTTCAAGTTATAACAAAGAGGCCCGAAATGTAGTGGTAAATTGGGAATGACAGTTTGCCTTGTTATTACAAGGCCTGAGGACTATCTACTACAAAATTCACAAAGCAGTCGGCTCTCTGCCAACAGTACATCCAACAGTACTGTTCTACATCCAACAGTACTGGTCCACACATTATTTAGTAACCCATTTTCAAAGTCAGATTAAAATACTATATAATTTTACATTTTGTCTGGTGTCAATGGTTTGCCGGATATTCTGGCTGCGTACGATATTCCCGCAACATTCCTATCCTGTGTAGTATAGGTTGATGGGTTGGGGAGGCTGAGCATGTGTTTGAAGAACACTTTGCTCAATAATCCAGCTCAGCACTGGAGCTGTGTCCATCAGATTTAAGCCACTGTCCAAATGAAGAGCGTCAGCAGCACCATAAAGAAGAAAAGAGCAGGATCCATTGAGGTACAACAATCCAGCAGACACCAGCTCGTCTCCATGAGGGGTCGTAGGGAATCCTCTTAACCTTGGTGGGAACTTGTGGCTAATATTAACTGTGTGTCCCTTTTCATGGAAATCACTGCCTCTGCTCTAAGAGATTATTAGAGAGAGAGAGAGAGCTAGTGAGAGAGAGAGAGAGAGAGAGAGAGCGCAGTCATAAATCTATGGGAGGTTATTTACCTTTGGTGAAGGGGGCTCACTCTGTCCAGCAACAGCAATGCTGATGTTTTGCAGGCATTTGACTGCAGGGCGAATGGCAAAGAAGACTGTGGTAATTCTAGAAACGGTTTTGCTTTCATGCTACTTTTTCATCTATTAATACGTTTCTCCCAAATCTCTGAATTCAAAACCTCCTAATAGATTAAATTAAAATTAAATATAGCTGCCAGACTGCACAGTGTTTAATACCCACTCCACAGCAACCAGGAGAGAGAGCTTAAGCAGGACGCATGCACTGTCTGTATTGAATGCCTTCACGGTTTTTCACATTTTATTTTATTTTTTTAAACAGTGCAAGTGGGAATGCCATCACATTTTCTGGATGAGCAATATTATTAAGCGTTAATATAATAATATTAATAAGAGCAATATAATGTGTTTTCCATTATACACGCTGCCAGTATATTATTGCTTTTAAAGTGAATAACACCAGCACACTGATCTGGAAAATTACATTTATGCTCTGGCTTTTTACTAGTATAGAAGATTACACTTTTCATATTGTACAGAAATAGAACTAGCATGCTTTGCTGCACTCTTGTCTTCTCAGCCTTAAGGAACAGATAATAAACCTTTCCATTTGTGATGTCCACTACAGAATTGGTACATCTCACTACGGCTGTATTTTTTTTGTATGTATTGAACTTGTGCCCTCTTACTTCTTTGAGTTCTTGAAAAACCACCACAAGTCTTTTTTTCACTGGTTAGAACAGGGCGCACAGCCAACAGACTGGGGTTAGGGAGGTCAGTCAGTACTCATTACTCTCAGTCCCATTTAGAGAGGAGATCTGAAGCATTTGTTATTTAGTGGGCTTTTATATCATAGTAGTCCTTCACATATTGTTTCCTAATCAAGACTAGACGGTATATACCAAGTCATTTATTTTTCCCGCCTCCTTAGTGAGGGAAATGCACAATAATAGGTTTGATTTCTCATTAGATCTCCTTTTTGTTTTGCCTCTGCCATATTACAGCTGTGATATCTCGGAGCCACGAGGGTCCGGGGGAGATGGGCAAGGCGGTGAACATCCCCAAGGATGACCAGGAGAATGAAGGAGCTCTTTAAGATTAACCAGTTCAATCTGATGGCCAGCGACATGATTGCACTCAACAGGAGTCTGCCGGATGTGAGGTTGGATGGGTGCGTAAGCTTTGATGTGTTCCAGATGCATGCTGTGAATCACACAACTGACCCTTTAACACCTACACACACACACACACACCACACCAACACACACCACACACACACACACATACACGCGTACCTATCCAACAGTGCACCGTCGGAGTAAACTGCCAAGTGTGGACCTGTGTTTCCAGTCCTTTTGAAGTAAAATAATATACAAAATTTACTTTTATTGTCTTTTAACATAATATTACTGCAAATTTGCTTTTTTTGGCTTTTTAAAGAAATTGCCAAGAGGGGACTTAGATCCTTAAACGATAGCTACCTATCCAAGAGGGGACCTCCATTGTTATGCAGTGGAACTGTCTGTGCTCATTCTCACCTAATGAGTGTTTTTACCTTCAAAGACTTTCTTTGTTTCTTTCAAAAATGGATAATTTAACTTTAATGTGAGCGATGTGTAAACATTTCACCGTGATCCAAACTTTAATCACTTTAACTGAAAATAAATAAACTTTAAACTTTAATTCAGAAGTAACTTTGCTGCATGCATTGATATCAAGCACTACAGTATTACCAACAAAAATTACTTGATCTAGGTTTCAAATACCGTTTAAATAATAATAAAATATCTTATTACACTAGTGCACTTATTTTAACTTTCTCTTAGGGGAATTCATATTCTTCTGTGTGGGATGGTCATTTTTATGACCTGTGTGGAATGGTGATGTATGCATTTTAAAGAGTTACTTTGTATTTGCTCTTAATAACTGAATCTTAGACTGGTTTTGAATCACACATCCACTACACTCTGTTAAGGCTATTTGGATATCTTTAGGGGCTAAAGTCATTTATGAATATAATGAGGTCAGACAACAGATAATGAGTTATCCTTTTTCTAATAAGGATAATTTGACATTCAAACTATAGCATGTATGACAAACGAAAGCAAAAACAATAATACTTATGAGAAAATATAATCTCAACTAAGCAGTCTATTGACACATGATTTGATAATATGCTTTGAAACAAAACTTAAAGGCTCAGCAATAGTAGATTTCCTAACTAGTATTAAGCTTCAGACTGTAAGCTAAAAGGCTACCCAAATAAATTGATGTCCTGATGGGTTTTCATCAGGAATGCATGGTATTTTCATGTTTGCATTAGGCCTACAGAAAAAAGGTCCACACTTGTATGGCATTTAATGACATGACAAAAAGACTATTACCGATGACACATTAAATGACACATGTCCCCTCTTAGATCCTATGGAGCAACAGTCACACTCCAACATCATTAAATATTCCTCAAGCATGATAAATAAATTTAAATTAGGAAGTAAATGGTCAGCAGGAAGATTCTTAATGTTCTTTTTTTATTTGCTAAAAACAGATTTATTATGAACTTTCACCAGCCCTTTGAAAGGATTTAGCCCCCCAATTTTTCCAGTATATTGACCAATTATGACAATCACAGGATTTCAATCAATTTTACAATGTACATGTATCTTTAATCTATATGTAACGGAATGCATTTTGTTTGTTGTTTTGCATTACAAAAATGTCCACTGTTGGCTGGTACATAATGACACAAGTTCCCTCTTAGATAGCATGGATTGACACTCACACTCCAGCATGAATAAAAAAAAGAAATTGATAATTTCTAAGAGAAACTTATAATTTAAACTAAATATAATCTGTAGTTACTTGGGGTTTGAAGAGACACTAAGTTTACAAGACTAGGCGAGACACAATATTGGGTGCAAGTGTGAAATGTTAAGTAGTTCAAGTTCAAAGGCCTAACGATCATCATTGGTCGCAAGAACCCTCCCCCACACTGCAGACAATCAGACACAGATTCTCACTGCAGACAATCAGACACACGTTCACACCCCTCACCTGCTCCAGGTCACCTCTCAGAGACAGCACTCACACTTTCTCCAGGATTTTGTATTTAGCTTAACTCTGCATTGGATGCTAATTCATAACACAGTTTCCTACAACCACAAAAAGAAAACGGTAGAAATATATGTAGACATATGTTTAGTAAAAGTGCCCAAACACCCAATTCTAATAAAATCTGATGATGGTACAGCCAAAGAGAGAAAATAAATACAGGAGAGAGAGATGCATGCTAATAAGCCACAGGTTTGATTAGAACTGGGCCACTGCAGTAAGAACTCATTTGTGTATGGTGCACATGCTCCTGAAGACACACGCTCATAAACTGAAAGTTTCTTGCTCTCTTCTCTCTTAACTTTGACCCTCAATTTACTGTATACTGCACTATAATGGCCACTCTACATTTTGGGTTTCAACAATACGCTTAAAAGAAATGTATGCCAGTTTGTATAGCATATTTACAATATTGGTAAGCCTGAGAGAAGTTCTCACCACTGTTAAATTAGTATCCCTGACACAAGTGGCATGTAACACAAAATAAATTAAACACTCAATAAACACAATTAAGGCAAATAAAACAGAAGCCTTTTAACTACATAGCCTAAATACCTATGGTAGAAGCACAAAAAGCAGGACAAATGACCAAATAATAAAATCTGAGCAAGATAATAAGGCATTATGTTGGTTCTGAGACAGGCTGTAGGTAACTCCACCACTACACTTAATGTACGAAAGTTTAAATTCATCAGAAGAGAGTGACCTAGAATTTGAATGACTATGAATGCCTGGTTGACATTCATTGTAAGCCTTACATATTAAATGATTCCCACTGCTTGTAAACCTTTTCAGTGACTTTAAGCATTGTTGATCATGTGTCAGACCAATCAGAGAGACCATCAGTCTTCCTTCTTTTGAGATAGATTTCCATCCAAATACACTATATGGACAAAGGTGCTACCCCTGTCCTAATAAATTTGGTAGGGGCTGTGTTTTCATGGGTTGTTAAGGGAAATCTTGCCTATGGATTTAGAATGGGATGTCATAAAAGTAATGCGTAGGTGTTGCTGTATTTTTGTCCATACTAGTGTAATAAATTAACTCATATTATACACAATCGCTTTAAAATTATTTGGTGATATTTTAAAAGTTATTCAACCCCATTATTTGGGGGTGTACTAAATCGCACATATGTATGGTTATTATACTAATTCTTAGTAGATGTTTTCTGGTAAAACACCTTATTTAGCTACTTTTTGTGAGTAGCTTGTAACATAGGGTACAATTTTCAACAAAAGTGGAGTATTGTACATCCGCTCTTTACAGTTTCAAAATATCTCCCACAAGACTCCAGAGAAGTTGCATTACAAAGGCCAAGTCACTGGTTTGCGATCTTGACGCCCTAACGACCATCGTCAGCAACAAGAAACCATCCCCCACGCTGCACACAATGGAGAACAATGACTGAAACTTCACAACCCTCACCCAAGATGACTTCTCAGAGACAGCTCTCAACATTTCAACCTTAAAACATTTGTGAATCACATAGGCTCTAGTCACTTAAATGTAGAGGATTCTTTTAAATCTACATCATTAACTGAAGACATGTGTAACTCTTTCTAAAAAATCCACAACAATACCTTCAAGCAGTATGTCTGACATGTCTACCACAGTAAACAAAAGTAAATCAAACCTATATCTAATTGCCAGAGAACATTTGCATTACTATGCCAGCAGTAGTTAGCATTTGATGTCTTATCCTAAGAACCAATCACTGTCCAGATAGCTAGTCAGGATTGTGTATATATATTCTGGGCTCCTCAGAGAAGGTGCATGGCAGTCTTTGGTGTCTTGTGGAAGTGTTGACAAGTATGCAGTTTTTTGAAGGAGAAAACCAACTTTAAAATTTCTTTACTATTCTTACTAATCGTTTACCAGTCATCCATTTATCTGTCTATCTTAACGGTATGTAGACATATTTCACCTGTGTTGTTCTTTTGAAAAACTTTTTCATCTTTCCATCCTGAAGACCAAAGCGAGAGGTAAGTTGAACATTTTTACCAATACCCCTTGTATGTTTTCATCAAGGCTGTTTGTAACTAAACTATCAAATTTAAATATAACTGTACATATATATATATATATATATATATATATATATATATATATATATATATAGTATTGTATAACATAGTATATTCTGACTGTATCAGATTGTACAGATAGTTTGTTATTGTATATTGATTGCTTAGTGTGTAAATATTTTTACACCTATGTAGAATGTTACCTGTATATTGTATATAGGGTGTATATAGTATGAATATTATTTATACTAATACATAGAATTTTAACTGATTCTACTTTTATTGTATTTTATTCCTTACATTCCTATATACATATATGTACACAGAAAAAGTACTGATAGCTTATATTGTTTTACAAAGTCACCCAAGTTATCATGCTGTTCTTCTCATTGTATAAACAATAATCTTAAATTAACTTGTTATAAGTCAAGACACCATATGATGTATAATATATTGTAAACATTTCACTGGAAAATGAGAACCAGAAGGGTTTTTCCTAAAAAGGAAGCCTTGCAACTTCACTGCATCTGAGAAAGAAAAAGCCAAATTTCAGAAAGGATTCATCTACAAGGAGAAAGGTATTAGATCAGAACATAAGATTCTCTATTCAATACTGTATTTAACTACAACTTTCTTGGTTGCTAATGAATTATAAGGAAATGGAGCATTGTTAAGTGTGTGCATAGTATTATACACTATATATAGTTATATGTTGCCATGTAAGGTGCAACCTGAAAATGGTTTAAAGGCATAGCTTGATTTTGTGTTCAGATATGAGAACAATATTGATCTTGTCATTCAACTCTCAGCAAGTCAGTCAAGCTAAGCAGGCAACAATTAAAATAAGAAATACCCACTGCCATCATACATAGTGTACAATTTTGTGTGTATTATATAAATGTAGATACAAATCCAAACCCTTAGGGTGACATTGCATAAGATCCCATCGAGTGTTAGAATGCTGAGATAGTGTTGGTCGTTCATGGAATTTGATGACAGACAGACTGACAGATAATTCATTTATTCAGTATAA